ATAATCTCTCTTGCTTCTTACATTCAACCGGTTATCCAAATGCATCAATTCTCCCTTCATTACATTTAAAAACTGTCCCTTCTTTCCATTTCTTCTATTTCTTTCCTAGTAGGGAAACTCATTAGCTCTTGTTTAGATAATGACAATGGAGTCCTAGCCAATATATTTCTGTTTTAAGCCTACTTTCTTCTAGTCTATTTTATTCAGTCCTGCCAGATTAATTTTCCTGAACTGTCTTCAAATACTTTTGCTATTTGAAGTATAAATGTATATTTATCATATTAATAGTATCAGTATGGAATAACTGACATTATACTGATGATAAGAAAGCTGCTGTTTTTATACATAAAACAATTATTAACTTGAAAATAGATAAAAATAGTGAAATACAGTTGACCCTTCAATCCTTTGAATAACATGGGTGTTGGGTGTGCCGACTTCCAAATGGTCAATTACCCATATGTAACTTTTATCTCCCCCCCCAAAATTGACTACTAGTAGCCTACTGTTGACCAGAAGCCTTACCAATGACAAAAACAGTCAATTAACACATATTTTGTACATTACATATATTATATACGCATTATATACTGTATTCTTACAATAAAGTAAGCTAAAGTAAAATGTTATTATGAAAATCATAAGGAAGGAAAATATATTTACTATTCATTAAGTGAAAGTGGATAATAATAAAGGTCTTCATCCTCATTGTCTTCATGTTGAGTGAGTTGAAAGGGAGGAGGAAGGGAAGGGGTTGGTCTTGCTGTCTCAAGTATTTCATGGCAGTAAATGATAAAATAGACTAGTAGCTACATATATATTTATGCATTCATGACATACCTAACTTTTTCTATTTCTATGTTTTTCTTATTTATTTATTTATTTTTGAAACATGGTCTCATTCTGTCACCCAGGCTAGAGGACAGTGTTCACAATCAAGGCTCACAGCAGCCTCGGCCTCAACCTTCCAGGCTCAAGTGATCCTCCCACTCCTGAGTAGCTGGAGCTTCAGGAGTGCCACCATGATTTACGAATTTTTACCTTTTTTTTTTTTTTTGTAGTGACAGGGTACCACTATGTTGCTCAGCCTGGTCTCAAACTCCTAGGCTCAAATGATCCTTCTGCTTCAGCCTCCTGAAGTGCTGGGATTGTAAGTGTGAACCACCGTGCCTGGCCCTAACTTTAAATTTTTAAAAGATATTCTACACTATTCAGTTTGTTCTCAAATTTTTTCAAATTGTAGCAAATCTTCAAAAAATTTTTCAATTTTTTTTTTTATTGTACTTTAGGTTCTGGGTACACGTGCAGATCATGCAGATTTGTTTCATAGGTACTTACATGGCAAGGTGATTTGTTGCCTCCATCCCCCCATCACCTATATCTGGCATTTTTCCCCATGTTATCCCTCCCCAACCTCCTTACCCCCCACTGTTCCTCCCTTAGCCCTCCCCAACAGAACCCAATGTGTAGTGCTCCCCCTCCTTGTGTCCTTGTGTTCTTATTGTTCAATACCCACCTATGAGTGAGAACATACAATGTTTGATTTTCTGTTCTTGTGTCAGTTTGCTGAGAATTATGGTTTCCAGATTCATCCATGTCCCTACAAAGGACACAAACTCATCGTTTTTTAGGGCTGCATAGTATTCCATGGTGTATATGTGCCACAATTTCCTTGTCCAGTCTATTGTTGAGGGGCATTTGGGTTGGTTCCAGGTCTTTGCTATTGTAAACAGTGCCACAATGAACATACACGTGCATGTGTCTTTATAATAAATTGATTTATAATCCTTTGGGTATATACCCAGTAATGGGATTGCTGAGTCAAATGGAATTTCTATTTCTAGATCCTGGAGTAATCGCCACACTGTCTTCCACAATGGTTGAACTAATTTACACTCCCACCAACAGTGTAAAAGTGTTCCTATTTCTCCACATCCTCTCCAGCATCTGTTGTTTCCAGATTTTTTAATGACCGCCATTCTAATTGGTATGAGATGGTATCTCAATGTGGTTTTGATTTGCATTTCTCTAATAACCAGTGGTGATGAGCATTTTTTCATATGCTTGTTGGCCTCATATATGTCTTCTTTTAAAAAGTGTCTGTTCATATCCTTCACTCACTTTTGAATGGTTTTTTTCTTGTAAATCTGTTTTAGTTTTTTGTAGATTCTGGATATTAGCCCGTTGTCAGATGGGTAGATTGCAAAACCTTTTTCCCATTCTGTTGGTTGCTAGTTCACTCTAATGATTGATTCCTTTGCCGTAACTCTTGTTTTCTCAAAGTTTTAACATTTAAAAAATTAGAACAGAGGTCAGATGCAGTGGCTCATGTCTGTAATCCCAACACTTAGGGAGGCCAAGGCAGGTGGTTCACTTGAACTTAGGAGTTCAAGACCAGCCTGGGCAACATGGCAAAACCCCTTCTTTATGAAAAATACAAAAATTAGCCAAGTGTGGTGGTGCGTGCTTGTAGTCCCAGCTACTCAGGAGGCTGAGGCAGGAGGATTGTTGGAGCGTGGGAGTTTGAGGCTGTGGTGAGCTGTGATCATGCCACTGCACTCCAGCCTAGGTGACAGAGAGAGACTCTGTCTCAAAAAACAAACTAATTAAGAACAACAGAGGAAGACTAATAAATTCAAATATATTAAATAGGTAGAAAATGTTCATTTTCTTATTTCCTAGTTTGATATTTGTTGAGATATACTAGATACTAGGCAGATGGGAGGAATAAAGACTGCCTCCATAAAGCTCATCATCTAGTGGAGCATAACAGCTAGCAAGCCTCATTGGGCGGGGCGTGGTGGCTCGCGCCTGTAATACCAGCACTTTGAGAGGCCAAGGCAGGTGAATCACAAGGTCAGGAGTTCGAGAACAGTCTGACCAACTGGTGAAACGCTGTCTCTACTAAATACAAAAATTGGCTGGGTGTGGTGACACATGGCTGTAACCCCAGCTACTCGGGAGACTGAGGCAGGAGAATCACTTGAACCAGGAGGCAGAGGTTGCAGTGAGCTGAGATCATGCCATTGCATTCCAGCCTGGGCTACAGAGGGAGACTCTGTCTCAAATAAAAAGCATTCACTGGGAATCCATCTGATAAGTGACCAGCATATAAGAGAAATACTGAGGTATTCATTAGAAAATAAAATCAAGGGAATCTGAACAAATCATCATTATATTGAATGTAAAAAATATGGTCAGGTCAGGTGCAGTGGCTCACGCCTGTAATCCCAGCACTTTGGGAGGCTGGGGGGTGCGGATTACTTGAGGCTGGCCAACATGATGAAACCCCATCTCTACTAAAAATCCAAAAAAAAAAAAAATTAGCCAGGCATGGTGGTGCACGCCTGTATTCCCAGCTACCTGGGAGACTGAGGCATGAGAATCACTTGAACCTGGGCAGCAGAGGTTGCAGTGAGTCGAGATTGCACCACTGCACTCCAGCCTGGGCAACAGAGCAAGACTCCATCTCAAAAGAAAAAAATACATAAATAAAAAATATTTTTCAAAAATCCCAGAAACTTATAAACAGTTCACTTGCTATACCTCTAAAACATTTAAAAATCTTTGTAGCATCACTCAGTTTTCATACTACAATTTGGAAAAACAAAGCATCAGATATTCATTTCTCCTAGATGAGGAAAAGGGTACTTGAAATAAAAACTCCAAAAATGGTCATTTGAATGATGTTATGACTATGCAAACCAGCGGAGCTTGGCTAAAGATGAAAAATGCAAAGTCTGTTTTGTTTCTTGTTCTTTAATTCAAACTCTATTATGAGTGCAAGGATATGAGGAAGGCATCAAGTGTGCCTTTCCCACGGAACCTAATTCTGCTAGTGCTTCTCTATTGCATCCTGTCTCTAGAGAAGGTTTTGGCTTAACTGGATATTCCTTTCAGTGACAATTTTTTAAAAAATCTGCTCATACAGAACTTAATTTTCCTGACAAGGTTTAGATAAACCATTGATTGTGGATACATGGAAGGTATGTAGAAATTCTTTCACTGTGCACGCATGAGACTGCACTCCCTAAGATAATCTATATTTGAACATTTTACACTTCTGTAGGGTAGAGTTTAAATATTAGAAAAATGAGGCTCAGAGAGGTGAAATGACTTGTCCACACAACCTTGTTCATAGGAGGCTGAGTCAAAACTAGTTTCTAGATTCCTAACTCCCTGCATGGTATGCTTTCATATTATAGTACCATATAAGGTAGTAAATGCCATGTATTCATTTATTTATCCATTTAAACAAACATTTACTGGGTGTCTACCCAAAGCCATGCTCAGGCCCAGGGGATAGAGGAATGAACAAATAAACAAGAGTCCCTTTCCTTCTGGACTACATTTGAGTGGGGAAAACAGAAAATAAACAAGAAAGGCAAGCAAGTGTAAGTCAGATGGTGGTAATTACTATGAAGAAAAGTAAAGACAAGGCATTAGACAAAGGGAGACTGTAAGTTTAAATAAACTGATCAGGAAACCCTCATTGAGACAGTGGCATTTGAACTAAAATTTGAAAGAGATGAGGGGGCTGGTTGTGCATATCCATGTGGAGAGTATTCTGGGAAGGGAAATAAGTGCAAAAGCCCAAACGTGAGAGTGTGTCTAGCACGTTCACGGAAAAGCAAGAAGAGCAGTGTGGCTGGCAGAATGAACAAGGAGGAAAGCACTAGGAGGTGAGGCCAGACTGTGCAGGCCCCACCTGGTTTTACCCTAAGTGAGGTTTTGAGCAGAAGTGCAGCAGGGTCTCATTGGCTGCTATTTGAGAATAGTCTGGAAGTACAAGGTGAAAGCACTGAGACTGGTTAGGAGTTTCCAAGGATGATTAAAATGAAATGCAGAAGGACAGACTGCCAGAGGAGAAGAGGTTGATTAGTGGTTAAATCCTAGATAGATTTTGAAGGCTGAATCAACAAGATTTCTTGATGGTTTGGATATGGGTGTGAGAAAAGAGGACAGGGTCAAGGATAACTCCAAAGTGTCTTTTTTTTTTTAAACCTTTATGTATATTTATTTATATGAGGTTTCTGTTGATGGAACACATAAGCATAGTTGAATAGATGTGGATATGCTTTGGAGAGTATGAATTAACATATAGATTACATTTATGAAAAAATCACTTTCAGGGAAGGAGGGCACCCTGGCTAAACTTGCCTATCTCTTGAAAGACAGGTAACAGTTTAGTCAGGGTGAGATAAGTTGCTATAACAGAACCAAATCTTCAATGTTCAAACACAATAGAAGTTTATTTCTTGTTCATCTATAGACCAGGGTGGATGTTCTAGGTCAGTGGGCTTCTCTCTTCTACGTGGTGACTCAGGTCTGAGGCATTTTGCATCTTATGGCTGCCTCATCACCTAGGGCCTTATTGTCATCTGTATCCCCCAGCACAAGGCGAAAGAGAGCAAATGAAGGTGGTGCACTTTGTTTCTATTCATACTTAATTGATGAAAACTGGTCACATGGCCACACTTAGCTGTAGGTACAAGGCGCGGGGCTGAGAAACTGTATCCCCGGTTGGTAGCTGCATTGCAGCTACAACTCAAATTCCTGTGGAAGTCGGAACGCACAGTGTGAAGACAACTCCTGTGTCTGCTATAGGCAGCCATTCTCCAGAACAGGTAAACAAACAGGTTCCACCATTTGAGAGAGACGCAGCATGCATATTAAGGTGCTGGGTGTGCTCCTGGGGTCTTGTATCCCTTCTCCTCTGATTCTTCCCTTAGTATGGGCAGTCCATATGTCTAACTCCAAAGTTTTTAGCTGACGAACTAAATGACAGAAAAACAGATTTTTAGGAAGATCAAGGTGTTCAGTTTTCCACATGCCAAGTTTGAGAAATTAAGACATTCAAGTAGAAATCCAGCAGGCAGTTGCATATACACATCTGGAACTCATAAGGGAGATGTGAACTGGAAATATATATTTGAGAAGTCAGTGGCATCTACATGATAGTAAATCTCCAAGATTAGATAAGGTCACCAGGAAGGGGTTATGGATAGAGAAGAGGCCGGAGGACAGAGCCCTGGAGCCCTCCAATGTTTAGAGATTAGGAAAACAAAAAAGAGCAGGCAATAGACTGTAAGATTAGTTTTTCCAAAGACTGCCGAGTGCTCAACTCAGAAGAAAGCTGAGAACTGGCCACTGCATTTAGCAATGTGAATGTCACTGGTGACCTTGTCAAATGTGGTACCAGTGGACTGGTGGGTTGCCTGACTGGAGTGGGCTTAGGAAGGAATGGTGGGGAGTGGAGTGGGAGATAGCAAATAGTCAAATAGCCAGTTTTTATGTATTTGCTATGAAATTTTGTATGTGGTTATTATAATCATATACAAAAAGTTTTAGTAATTAGATTAATCATATTAAAAAGTTTTAGTAATTATAACAATATAGGCCCTTTACACTATAGGCCCTTTACTATACACTTAATTCATTTGAATTATAGGCCCTTACACTATAGGCCCTTTACTGTGCACCTAATTCATTTGAAAAAAATTCATTCTAACAAGATTTAGCTTACAAATGAGGAAACTGATGGTTAAAGAAGTGAAGTAACTTGCCCATGTGCCCATGTGTGGTAAGGGGTGGAGCTAGAATTTGAATTCAAGTCTGCTTGACTCTTAGCCCTCACCCTTGACTACTGTGCTCCTTTAAATATTACAATGAATAGCCACCCACATGAGATTGATTCTTTCCTGAGATTAAATACTCATTGGAAGAAATAATGCAGAAAGGCTAACAAAGATCCGCCCTCCTTATTGGTCAAGGTATTCTTAGTCTCTGGCAGGCATGATGGCCAAAACTAAACAGCATTGTTCATCACTTCAGCTGTCAGCCAGCTCACAGCAGGTCACTGTCCATGAAGCCCTTTGCAATAAAAAAATGGTTTGATGAGCCAGTTTTATCAATGTTGCTAAATTCAAATAACAATTTCTATTGGTAAGAAATTCAGCTCCATCACCATTAATAAAATAGGAAAATCTAGGTCTGTCTACAAGTCCAGTAAGCCACGCAGAAAGAAAGGGAGTGGATTTGTTTCTGACCTGGTCTTCTATTTGCATGAAAAGCCATCCTACACACCCTTCAGCAGAGAAGGGGTTTTATTAAACCGGGTGGGACAAATCTCATTAATAGCCTGTAGGCTCACTCCCCTTCCACACTGTCCATTTAATTTTGACTGGTATTTTAATTTACCCTCAGACTCAGCTATTGAGCTCTCCAACACCCTGGCTTGAGTTCAGTGGATAAGACAAAGGTAACATCCAGCAGAATCGTGATAGAACTTCACGTGGTCATACGGCCATCAGGATAAACACAAGAGTAACAGAAAGCTTTGTTCTGAAAGCATGAGTCGTATAATTCCATTACAGCTTGGTCCAGTACTTACGAAAGAAAAGTACTAAACTATTAAATAAACTTCCGTTAAGAACTGCTGAAGAAAATTATAACTGCTGGTTTTCTATTGTGTGTGTGACATGATGAAAACAAAACAAAAAAAAAAACACTGCAGTTTAGTATGATAATCTAGTATTAAGACAAGAAAACCAGAAAAGCTCATGTAATAGTTTTGTAATCTTACAAATTAGATAATGTATGCAAAATCGTTTCAGAGTTCCGAAGGATTTACAAACATGAGCCAGTGTTACCAGGTAAACAAATTCAAGGGATATTATAGCTATGTAATAGGATCTATTGACCACACACTTATAATTTTATGGAAATAAAAACCTACAGTAAAAATAGTTGCATTTGTACAGCATTTCTCATTCTTTTCAAAAAGTTATACATATATAAGAAAAAAATTCAAATACTGTAATAGTTCCAGCTGTGCAAAGTATTCTTGACACATAGACCTTCAATTATTATCCTCAGAGGCACCCAGAGATTCTAGTTTTTAATATATCCATATGTTTTATGAGTTTTATGTCAATATATCTGTTCACATTTTTACCTATATCTTTAGAATAAAAATAATTGAGTATCACCTGATAGTTTTCCTTTATACTTTCACATTCTGTGGATTTTTGACATAGCAATTACACCTCATTCTGAAAAATAAATAACAATTTTTTTCTCTAAAGTAATTCAAACAATAAATACTTAAGCTTTCATCTTTAACAACTCACCTGTACAATTTACCAAGACAACATGCCTGACGTTACTAGAGATCAGAACTTTAAGTCAGCATTCAGTCAGACAAATCCTTAAATGTTTGCAGCTCGATTTTCTTCTAATCAAAACGTGGTGAGAAATTGGTACCGATTAACACTGGTCCTTTGATAGATCGTGATTTCCTAGTTTCATTGAACAGAACCTGTGTTTGATTCCAAAGCTTGCCTTTGATTCCAAAGTCTTTCTTTTTTATGTAGTCCCTAAATATTTTATGAACCCAAAGAACATTTCATTATAAAACTGAAATACACAAGCTGGGGAAGAAGAAAAATGAAGCCCCTTTAGCCCTTGAATATGACGTTTCAACATGAGGCACAGAAATACATTGCATTATAGTTTTACCTTTCATTTCTTCACTGGTTGCCATTAATATGTTGCTCCAACTTACCTGGATACTTAGCACATGCAGATCTGGGTAGGATTTTTACCACACTTCTTTGCCAGATGGAAAACCTTTGAATGATACAGGTTCTTTCTTCTGGCTAATAGGCAATATCAGCAGCCTTCAACAACACTGTTTCTTCTTTCACAATACTCTGGTAGCTTTTGAAGTCTTTGGACACAGAATTCAATCTGTTAGAGAAGGGAGTGGCATCCTGAAAAATAAGGTTTTGCCATATTTATAAGTTATCAATTTTATAATTTATTATGAGAAAAGGCAAAATGCAACCATTATGATTGGTTAAAATAACAGATTACATTTAAGCATAGCTGAGGTACTTCAGGAAAATGTGCACAGAGCCCTCTGACATAAGACTTCCTTTCAATCCAGTGTCCCCACCATCCTCCTTTTACTAAAACAATATGCTCACTGACACTTGTTTCAAAAATGGCTATTAAAAAATAGCTTTTTCCAAACTTTTTACCATATAGGTATACAGTGAAAATTCAACCATCAATGTACATGATAAATATACACAGTAATTCAATGAGAAAAAAATTTCCCAAAATATACAAATAGGTTGTTCAGAGCCACACAGATGAAACAACAGACTAACTGAATTTTTTTTCCTTTTACTTTATTGGTTTTGGTCATGGAACGACATAGGCAAAGCTTGGCTGAATATCAGTCATTCATTCTCTGTAGATACACTTAACAATTCATTACGCACAAATTATTCTAGAATAAAAAAGCTTAAATTGGCATTAGAAATATTACTACTAGTGATAGCATTTTAACAAAAGAAAAGGATTTCTGGGATTCTGTAAAACTATATGGAAAAAGGGACAACTAAAAGATATATAAGATATAGGATAAAAGATCATGGATTAAAACAAATATAAAACAAGAATTAAAATCATTATAAATCAAAAGAGAAATTACAAATGAAAGAGACTCATTATAAATGAAAAAGGACCTGAATTATGCCTGAATATCTAGTTCTTGATGGTCATATAAATAAAATCTCACACTTAAATGTGCTAATGAACTAAATAACTAATTGGCTTCTGCTGGTTCTGAACCAGAGGTGCACAGTGGTTGGAGAAAAGCTTGTCAGCACCGTTTCCTTTCTTTCACAGAGTACAGCTCATTGTTTTTCACTTCCAAAGGAGAAAAAAATCACCAGATTTGTAAGGGTTTTTTTTCCTCGTCACCTCATCCCTAGACCCAGTTTCAGCTTTAATCCTCACCCTTCAAGGAATACAGCATTTCCATTCATTTCAAAGTATTGTATTGGTGCTGATAAAAATAGGGCCAAAATTTCGAAAAGAGATTAATTATGCTGATAAATGTCCATTGTAAGTACTGCAAGAACACTGAACCAACAGCCAGTGTATACTGACGTTGTTTGCTGCTGTTTATAGGAAATTACATAAGCACAGTACTGGAACAGAAGGAAATAGCTTATATGGGTCATAGCTTTGCGGATAAAGGAAAATCGTTCTATGTAAAATAAACTAAGGACTTTCCAAACAAAGGAAAGGTTAAGACATACAAATATATATGTTATGTTTCACACACACAAACAAACCAAGTAAATAAAAAGAACTCCTAAAACCTAATTAGAAAATAACATAAAACCAGACTGTACCAATTACAGTGCACTATTACAGTGCACTATTCCTCTAAAAGGGAGATGATACGCCATATGCTATATCTGTGATGCCAAAGACAATTGTTCTAAGGATCTACCACTTTAAAAAACAAAAATAATTTTTAAAATAATTACATCAGCATATGGACTCTGGAAAATTTCTTGTACTGTGATAAGGTCAGATGGACATTTCCTGTTTCACATTTCTAGTACACGTTGTCTTTTAGACAATAATAGTGTGAAACAATAGTTTGGCATGAGTTCAATGCATACTAAGAAACGCCTGGCTCTGCATAGGCTAGCTGGTTTTCCCAACACCATTTATTAAATAGGGAATCCTTTCCCCACTGCTTGTTTTTGTCAGATTTGTCAAAGATCAAATGGTTGTAGACGTGTGCTGTTATTTCTGAGGCCCCTGTTCTGTTTTATTAGTCTATATCTCTGTTTTGGTACCAGTACCACTGCTGTTTGGTCACTGAAGCCTTGTAGTATAGTTTGAAGTCACGTGGCATGATGGCTCCCGCTNATGGGCTCTTTTTTGGTTTCATATGAAATTTAAAGTAGTTTTTGCTAATTCTATGAAGAAAGTCAATGGTAGCTTGATGGGGATAGCATTGAATCTATAAATTACTTTGGGTGGTATGGCCATTTTCACAATATTGATTCTTCCTATCCATGAGCATGGAATGTTTTTCCATCTGTTTGTGTCCTCTCTTACAACCTTGAGCAGTGGTTTGTAGTTCTCCTTGAAAAGGTCCTTCACATCCCCTGTAAGCTGTATTCCTAGGTATTTTATTCTCTTTGTAGCAATTGTGAATGGGAATTCACTTATGATTTGACTCTATTATTGGTGTCTAGAAATGCTTGTGGTTTTTCCACATTGATTTGTATCCTGAGACTTGGCTGAAGTTGCTTATCAGCTTAATGAGATTTTGGGCTGAGACGATGGGGTCTTCTAAATATACAATCATGTCATCTGCAAACAGAGACAATTTGACTTCCTCTCTTCCTATTTGAATACTCTGTATTTCTTTCTCTTGCCTGATTGCCCTGGCCAGAACTTCCAATACTACATTGAATAGGAGTGATGAGAGAGGGCATCCTTGTCTTGTGCCGGTTTTCAAAGGGAATGCTTCCAGCTTTTGCCCATTCAGTATGATATTGGCTGTGGGTTTGTCATAAATAGCTCTTATTACTTTGGGATAGGTTCCAACAATATGTAGTTTATTGAGAGTTTTTAGCATGAAGGGGTGTTGAATTTTATCAAAGGCCTTCTCTGAATCTACTCAAATAATCATGTGGTTTTTGTCTTTGGTTCTGTTTATGTGATGGATTACATTGATTTGCGTATGTTGAACCAGCCTTGCATCCCAGAGACGAAGCCAACATGATCATGCTGGATAGGCTTTTTGATGTGATGCTGGGTTTGGTTTGCTAGTATTTTATTGAGGATTTTCACATTGATGTTCATCAGGGATATTGGCCTGAAATTTTCTTTTTTGTTGTTGTTGTGTCTTTGCCAGGTTTGAGTATCAGGATGATGCTGGCCCCATAAAATGAGTTGGGGAGGATTCCCTCTTTTTCTATTGTTTGGAATAGTTTCAGAAGGAATGGTACCAGCTCCCCTTTGTACCTCTGGTAGAACTTGGCTATGAATCCATCTGGACCTGGGCTCTTTTTGGTTGGTACGCTATTAATTGCTGCCTCAATTTCAGAATTTGTTATAGGTCTATTCAGGGATTTGACTTCTTCCTGAAAACTGGATCCCTCCCTTATACCTTAAACAAAAATTAACTCGAGATGGATTAAATACTTAAATGTAAGACCTAAAACCATAAACACCCTAGAAGAAAACCTAGGCAACACCACTCAGGACATAGGCATGGGCAAAGACTTCATGATTAAAACGCCAAAAGGGATGATAACAAAAGCCAAAATTGACGAATGGGATTTAGTTAAACTGAAGAGTTTCTGCACAGCAAAAGAAACTATCATCAGAATGAAGAGGTAACCTACAGAATGGGAGAAAATGTTTGCAATATATCCATCTAACAAAGGGCTAATATCCAGAATCTACAAGGAACTTAAACAAATTTACAAGAAACAAAAAGAACCCATCAAAAAGTGGGCAAAGAATATGAACAGACACTTCTCAAAAGAACACATTTATGTGGCCAGCAAACATGAAAAAAGCTCATCATCACTGGTCATTAGAGAAACAGAAATCAAAACCACAATGAGATACCATCTCATGCCAATTAAAATGGCAATTATTAAAAAGTCAGGAAACAACAGATGCTGGAGAGGATGTGGAAAAATAGGAATGCTTTTACACTGATGGTGGAGTGTAAATTAGTCCAACCATTGTGGAAGACAGTGTGGCAATTCCTCAAGGATCTAGAACCAGAAACATCATTTAACCTAGCAATCTCATTACTGGGTACATACCCAAAGGATTATAAATCATTCCACTATAAAGAGACATGCACATGTATGTTCATTGCACCACTGTTCAGGATAACAAAGACTTGGAACCATCCCAAATGCCCATCAATGGTAGACCGGATAAAGAAAATGTGGCATATATACACTGTAGAATACTATGCAGTCATAAAAAAGATGAGTTCATATCCTTTGCAGGGACATGGATGAAGTCGGACACCATCATTCTCAGCAAAAGAACACAGGAACAGAAAACCAAACACTGTATGTTCTCACTCATAAGTGGGAGTTGAACAATCAGAACACATGGACACAGGGAGGGGAAAATCACACACCAGGGCCTGTCAGGAGGTGGTGTAGCGTTAGGAGAAATGCTTAATTTACATGACAGGGTGATGGATGCAGCAAACCACCATGGCACGTGTCTACCTATGTAACAAACCTGCACATTCTGCACATGTATTCCAGAACTTAAAGTATAATTCAACAAAACAAAACAACAAAAAAGAAATGCCCGGCTCTTGAAGGCTGGGGTGAGTCAGGCTTGAATGGCAAAGATCTCAATGACAACAAAAAAACAAAGATAGTGTCTGGGAGGTGGTGGCCCTAAAGAATAAGATTCAAGAAGTGGACATATCTCTGACATTAATCTTTAATGTCTCCTGATCATTGAAAAGCTCTTATGTTCAGTATTTACATTTACACAGATGGCATTTATGCTTGTATCTGAATAGCTTGGTATTTTGGCTTGTTGGTTTGCAAAGCAAATTGTGATATGGAAAAATAATGAGTTGGCGGTTCCTTAGATTGTTAACTAGGACTGGCCATTATTCCCACTATTGTGCCTCCTCTTCTTCCCTGAACAATCGGTTCAGACAAGTATGAGGGCTGCCTTGATCCTTACCAGACTTTGCAATCTGTAGGCAATCTTCATCCTAACCCTGGACCTCCCAGCTATTTTGAACACCCTGAGGTAGATCCACTTGGTACTGGGTCCCTCATGAATTTGTTCCATCTTCCATCTTCTCTGATGCTAGGTTGGGACCGTCATTATATGTTGCTGGCATGGAAACAACCTGTGCTGGTATAAGAATATTTGAGTCAGTCGTTTTCAGCGCCAGGTCTCATCTCTAATCCTTGGCCATTCAGTTAGGGAAAACATGAAGATAGCATTGTGAAACAAGGTAAGGGATGCAGAGGGGTTTTCGTATTGGAACAAACACTTCAGAGAGTCCAGGGACAGACTTAGGAGGAGCCGAATCTGGATGAGAAGTTGCAGAG